TGCAAAATGTCTAGTACTGCTTACGTGTTGACTGTGAAATCCTTTTGAAACTCAAAGAAAATGGCGTTCAATGATGCATACACCATTTTCCAAGTCAAAATAATTTCTGAAACCATAGGATTTGCATTTGGCTTTTTGTATCTTATTGTCTCTAATCTCAGAACTTCCAGGATGACGTCATCGACTGTGCAGCTGATCCTGCTGTGCATGCTGTGGCACAGGAGCGCAGCCAGTGAGTAATACCTATGATTATGTACTGATATCATCGCTACATGTTCGTGTATTTTTTAAAAAGTATTTCACGTAGATCAGACATCGTGTTCCCTCTACATTCCCCGCAACGCCTTTCCTCGCCAGCCATCCAGACGGCGGCCGCTGCAGGAGACATAGCCCAAGTGCAGAGCTTCCTGGACGATGGCGTCAGCGTCGATGACCTCTCTCAGGGTAAAGGCCTTTGCTGTTTAGTCCCTTTCACTTGTGGGGAGAGGGGGGGAGAGGGGGGGGTAGGGAGAAGAGAGATGTTCTTCGCAGGCGAGGCAGCTGGTGCCCTGCATGGAAGCCCACTAGCAGCAGCAGATGGCTCTCTTCCCACGCATGCAAAGTCCAATGAACAACTCGGTACAAATTACAACACATTCTACAAGTATGAATAATGAATGTATATGAATGTGTGTGTGTATTAGTGTATTTACATAAGTTATTATCACTGTCATTATTATTACTATGGTAAGCCATACAGAGAGCACCCTTAATGATTGAGAAATACATCACCACTGGTGTCAGTGCAGGTCAAAGCACAGCAAAGAAAGAGAACCTAAAAACTGCAGTTATTTGTTCAATAAAAACAGAATAGATGAATTCTTATACTTATCAAGAGTCGAAGAAGTTACAATTTCCGAAGGCAATACACACACACACACACACACACACACACACACACACACACACACACACACACACACACACACACACACACACACACACACACACATATATATATATACATACACACACACACACATATATATATATATATATATATATATATATATATATATATATATATATATATATATATATATATATATATACATATATATATATTTATATATATATATATATATATAAGTATGTATATATATATATATATATATATATATATATATATATATATATATATATATATATATATATACATATATATATGTATATATATGTGTGTGCGTGTGTGTGTGTGTGTGTGTGTTTATATATATATATATATATATATATATATATATATATATATATATATATATATATATATATATATATATATATATATATATATATATATATTCTGTTTTATATACACATATAGATAAATAGGTATATAAATCGATCGACAGGTAGACAGTATGCGGCTTTCCCTGCGCCCGAACTGGCTCCTGCCCGGCCATGATCCGCAATGAACGATAATGACAGAATAGAGTTCTGGCAACATTCTAGCAACATCCACCTTCATCCTCCTTGTTATTTCCCAAAAGGCAAGACCGCGCTGACGGAGGCGACGGAGAACAACCAGTACGCGATGGTCGAGTTCCTGCTCGACGCGGGCGCCGACGTCGACCTGGCGAGAACCAACGGTAAGAAGTGCAGCACGACGGCATTAGGGCTCCGTGCTGATGCCGCAGTCAGCGTAGGATATAACGCTCTGGGCAGGAACTTGGCTTGGTGACTTCTTTTTTACCGTTATTGTTATTACTAAAGTTATTACTACTTTATTATCGTTATTATTATCATTATTATCATCACCATCATCATCAGGATTATCACCGCCACCATCGCATTACTGTTATCATTATTGCTGATATTATCTTATCGTTAGTATCCATATTATCATTATTGCAGTTTACAGACTTATCACTTGGTGCAACGAACACGCCATAGCCATGTTACAGCATATGTGTAAACTCACCATTACTGAGCTTCAGTTATCTACATTCTGCTCCACAACAGTTGCTTCAGTTTCTTCTTCATTTTTAACACAATGTCGGTGCACTCAAAGGGGATTCGAATGATCACTTAAGCATAAAACTTTCACTCTTTCTCCCTTTCCTCGTTCTTCTCTCCCTCCCCCATCTTTACCTCCCTTGACCCCTTCCCTTTTCTGGCTCTTTTCTTTGATTTTTTTTCTCTCTCTTTTTCCCTGACTCCCCTTATGTCGTTCTTTCTCCCTTTCCTTGTTCTTTCTCTTTCTAGTTCCTCCCCCTTATGTCGCTCTTTCTCTCCCTTGACCTTCTTTCTTTCTCTCTCCCTTGACCCTTTTTTTCTCTCTCTCCCTTGACCTTTTTCACTCTCCCCCTAAACCCTTCTTTCACTCTCTCCCTTAACGGGTTTTTTTTCTCTCTCTCCCTTGGCCTTTTTCACTCTCTCTTCTTTTACCTTTTTCTCTCTCCCTCGCTTGACCTTTTTTCTCTCTCTCTCCCTTGACCTTTTTTCTCTCTCTCTCTTGACCTTT